GTGAGGTGTCCCTCGAGGAGGCCCGGAGGTGGGGGTCCCCCCGACCTTGCTGTGCCCACCCCCACACTGCTGCTCGGGCTGTCCCCCCACCCCCCACCCCCAACGTCTTCCTTCCTCTAGGTCAAGGTCCAGAACGAGACTGTCTGGCCTCCAGCGACTGGTGAAGAGAGGGTGACTGTCCTGGTTTGTCTAGGACTGTCTTATTTTCACATGGGAAGCCCCACGTCCCAGAAATGTCTCGATCTCAGGCAAGCCAAGGAAGTGGGTACCTGTGTGAGGGTCTCCCCACACAGAGCATGACGGTCCCAGGGCAGGGTCCCCCGCTCCTCCACTCCTCTGGTTGTGGAAGAAAGGGGACATGGCCACGCCGCAGTGTACCCCAGCAGTCGGGGCCCCTGAGGTCTCCAGTCTGCCAGCCTCTCACATGGATGCCGCCCCAGCAGCCCTCTTGGCCATGCCGCCCCATCAAGGCTTTTATCCCTCTCATGTGGCCATCGACTGGCATGAGGGCCTGGAGTGACCCCCACCCTGCCGTGCAGGACACTGCATCCCAGCACTTGGCCAGGTGCAGAGTGGAGCTCAGTGGGTGAGAGGTGGGCTTCTGCCTCCCCCCTGCCGCACAGGCAGGGGCCCTCCTTCCACCAGAACATTGGGGTGCTGGGATCACTGGAGCCGGTGGAGAGGACCCTCTGGCTGGCAGAGCCTCCCTGGGATGTAGCCTGGCTGTGGGCTGAAGGCCTCGATCCACGAACCCACCCACAGGGTAAACCGGAACTGACACTCAGATGGACAAGGTCCAGCGCCCGCCCACACCCCAACCTCAGGTGTCTATTCGCAGACACCAGTTCTGGAAGGTTCCTGCGCATGGGCCAGCCCAGCCCCTCATGGGGCACCTACAGAGGGACTTTGAGCCCGCCCTCCTGGACACTTAACCCGACCACCTCCAAGATGGAGCTGACCCTCAGCTGAACTGAGGCCAGGCCCTCGATGCCTGCAGCAGCTGGGGTGCCCCTGGTAAGGCTGTGGCTTCAAAGACACCAAGCTGGAGTCTTACTGCCCCAGAGCAGGGACAGAGCCCCTGTGGTTGGGGAACTCAGCTGCTGCTGTGGGGTCAGGGAGCCTCTTGCTGGCCGATGTCTGAAACTGCATGTTACCTGGGCTAAGGTGGCAAGCGGTGGGCAGAGGACCCACATCAGCCCCTGCCCCCTGCCCTGGCCCAGCCCCAGCCAAAATGGCAGTGTCCCTGAAAAGGTGACTTTTTTTTTTAAGATTTTATTGGGGTATTGGGGAAGGGGAGCAGCCAAGTTGTTGTCCTTCGGTCTTAGTTGTGGAGGGCGCAGCTAGCTCAGCTCCAAGTCCAGTCGCCATCCGGCTGCCCGTTGGCACCTCACGGTCACTCAGCTCAAGGTGCTGTGTTCAATCTTAGTTGCAAGTGTGCATAGCCCACCATCCCATGCAGGAGTCGAACCGGCAACCTTGTTGTTAGGAGCACGTGCTCTCACCAGCTGAGCCATCCTGGCAGCTCAGTCACAGCTCAGCTCAGCTTGGGTGCAGCTCACTGGCCCACTGGGAATCAAACCGGGGACTCCGTTGCTCAGAGCTCCCACTCTTTTTTTTTTTTTTTTAAAGATTTTTATTGGGAAATTGGGGGGATGGGAACAGTGCTGGGGAATTGGGGACAGGGACTGCAGCCCACGCCGTCGCCGGCGACTCATGGCAGCCCAGCTCCAGGTTGAGCCGTTGTTCAGCATCTTAGCTGTGGAGGGCAGCGTCACTGGCTCCCATATGTGGGATCCGAACCGGGGCCCTCTGGCATCCCAAGCGAGTTCTTAACCATCGCGCCACTCGGCCGGCCCA